GAAGTGAGGGCGAGGAAATTTTCGTGGAGTTCCCGGTTATGGTGGGTGGTCGGGGCCGAGCGATGGAGTGTGGTTTATGTGTTTCTCTCTCGTATGCGCGCGTGGTGCGAGCCGTGTCGCTATAACTGAACCCGAGCAAGAAGCGTTTGCTTACTGAACCTGAATGATCGCACTGCAACGTACTGAAGTCGATCGATCGATCCCTTCGCCGATAACTGAACCCGACCGACTCCTTCGCTACTAACTGAACCCGATTGATCGCTGCTCCTGCTAACCGAACCCAATCGATCGCTGCTGCTAACTGAACCCGATCGAAGCCCCATGCGAGACGTAGGTAGCCATTTGAGTTGCCTCTGAATGAACAGTGCCCGTTGCTATCGCGTGCGCGCGATACGTAGAACAAGTCGAGACGTGGTGAGTCCGGCCGATTAGTTGGCTGTGGATGAACGACTCTGGTGGGGGTTGGATGAACATGACCCGACCGTGTGTAGGCAGTTGCCACTGGATGAACAGGACCCCGTGGTAGTACGCGGTTGCCGATGGATGAACAGGACCCCGAGGAAGCCGCCACACACCGCAGCCAGTTGGGAGTGGATGAACAGGAGCCCGTGGAGGCTGGTTGAAAAGTAGTTGGTGGAGGCTAGATGAACAGTAGCCCGTGGATGAACAATGGTTGGTGGAGGCTGGAGGAAGTCGACGGTGGATGAACAGTAGCTTGTGGAGTCCCGTTTTGCGATACGCCACACCCTCCCGACGAACATGACCCGTTTCGACCGTAGGCACTCCAACAGAAGTTCGCTTCCTTCGTTTTGCTGTATGCCAGACCCCTCCCGATCAACAGGACCACGTTTTGGTCATAGGTGCTTGAACAGAAGTCTGTTTGCTCCGTTTTGCGGTATGGCAGACCCCTTCCGATGAACATGATTCCGTTTTGACCGTAGGCGGTCGAACAGAAGGTCGTTTCCTCCGTTTTGCGATACGCTAGGCCCCATTTCGGCTGTTCCGTCCAAGCCGGTTGGCTCATGATGAATAGGACACATTCTGTTGCCTCCTGGTTAACACGATGTTGTTTCTCCATTCATACCTAGCCGGTTAGATACTGATGAACAGGACGCCGTTGCTGCCATCCATTGCCTCTCCATGTACACGAGCCCTGGTCGTACGTATGCGTGAGTACGTGTTCAAGACCCTGCATGTATGTATGTACAAGGCCGTATTTTTGGCATGTGGTTGTACGTACGTGTACACGATTTAGACGGGACTACCTGAACTACTACGTCGGGGGATCTACTATAACACGTGCCGCTACTTGGTCACGATTCATCATTGCAGAGATACCGATCGACTAGTATGTACGTACACGTTTGCGATGAGACATACAACATTACGTACGCTTCGACCAGGCGGGTCCCAGCTGTCAGGGAGGATAAGGACACACTTCCTTACATGCAAGATATAGCTATTGGGTCCCATCTGTCAGGGAATGAATCATTTTTATTTTGCGAGTAATAAGGAGGCACTTCCTTGTGTTCGAAGATGTAGCTGGTGGGTCCAACTGTCAGCCTCACCGCCTACAGTCCTCTTCCGATGGTTGTCATTCGTCGACCTTGTTGACCACGCCGCGCCGAGAGCATCAAGGTGCTGGACGACGGCGAGGCCTAGGAAGGGAATGACGCGGAGCTAGGGAAGACGAGCCAGGTGGATGCCCACGCGGAGGGGAGTGCGAGGGTTCACTGGTCGGCTATGGTGTAAGGCTGCCGTCGTCGGAGAATAATAGGGAGTGTGGATGAGTAGAGGGAAGGCATGGCCAGTGGTAGTATGGTCGAGCGGTGAGGCATGCATGGCAGAATAGCCGACCACAGGAGGCTGGAGTAGGCAGTACGGTGGGCGCTGGTTTGGGTGGCTGGAGCAAGAGCAAAGGTTGAAGATGCAACATGGCCATTGGCTTAACATCTAACGGTCACTGAAGCTAGAAATAGTTTATTGACTAAGTTAACAAAGCTCTGCATATGCATCAACTTAGTAGGCCACAAGTCAGCCTCCAAATCTGGTGGGTCCCAGCTAGCAGGGGGAATTATTTTTTTGTGCGTAATAAGGTGACACTTCCTTGCGTGCGAAAATGTTTTCTGGTTTTTTAATTTCTTCTTTTTCGAGTAAGAATAAAACGAAAACTATTTATCATCTTTGGTACAATCTATATTTTCGCGAAATGGATCATAATAAAGCTGGTGGGTCCCAGCTGTCATGGAGATCATCATAAATCCAACTGCCTACTACCAACGGGTCCTGTTCATCCAGTGGCAACCGCCTACACACGACTGGGGTCCTATTCATCCAACCCACACCGGGAACTGTTCATCCATAGCCAACCAACCAGTTGGACTCAACATGCCTCGACTCGTTCTACATATCACGCATGCGGCAACAACATGCCCTGTTCGTCCAAACGCAAACCAACCGGCTAGCTCAATCTCGCATGGGGGTTCGGTTGGCTTCAGTAAGCAGCAGCCGCGATCGATCGGGTTCAGTTAGCAGCGAAGGAGTCGGTCGGGTTTAGTTAACAACAAAGGGATCGATCGATCGGCTTCAGTACGTAGCAATGTGATCGCTCGGGTTCAGTAAGAGAAGACCTCTGGCTCGTCTTCAGTTACAGCGGACACGACTCGCACCACATGCGCGTATGAGAGAGAAACACACAAACCACACTGCATCGCTCGGCCCCGACCACCCACCATAATCAGAAAGTTCGTGAAAATTTCCTCGCCCTCACTTCTACCATGATTTTTTATGTCATGGACGGCCCAAAGAATGTCATGCGGGTGCGTCCTCGGCCCGCCCAGGACGAAAAGTCCATTTTCTGCCATGTTTTTAGTCATAGAAGTAGGAGCCCACCACATCTATGATGAAACGTGTTTTTGTCACAATTATCGTCATAGAAGTGTCATAACCATGACAGAAAAAATTCGTTCTAAGCCATAATGTCACGGATGTGTCTTTTTTGTAGTGCATACAGAGGCAGCAAGAGAGAGAGAGAGAGGGGAGATCCGCTGCAGCACACGGGGCTCTCCTCCACCCGACAGCTTGACTAGCTACGTGCGCTCTCGCTTGGTGTGCCTCCTTCAGATTTGACGCGTCCACGGCGAACAAGAGGGTGGGGGTGGGGGGGGTTCATGGCACTTCCGAAGCTGGCGTATGACGACGTCGTGGTGGCGGCTATAGCGCCACTCAAGGGCTCGACATCCGTGGCAGCTGGGGAGGGGGAGAAGACCTTGTCAGAGTGCGCCATCTATCTGTTGGAGTTTGGGGAGAAGGAAGAGATCCGGCTCAGCTATTAGACTCTGAGATTTCTTTAAGTTGGCTCTGAGTAGTAGGAACTTATATGGATCATGTTTTTTTATTGTTTCTCCCTATCGGTACTCGACGATGCTTATGGACTGGTTGTCTGTTTGATATAGTGATTTTGGTCATAAGGTTGTCAGAATCGCGATTCTATTATGCGATTCTACGACTTTATGATACAATCTAACCCCTCCGATTTTATAACTTTAGTTCATAGAATATATGTTTCTACAATCCTAATAGTTAAGATTCTATGATTTATGATCCTACCATTGGAGCTCCGATCTGATTCGAAATCGCCATTTTGACAACCTTGTTTTGGTGTACACAAATAAACAAGTGAGAAGAAGAGCACATTATTAGGGACTGTACTCCATTAGACGCATTAGCATCAGTGAAGATATTGGCCCAGTTTGGCCATGTTTACAGGACGCACAAGGGTAAATGATCAAGTATTTTCATTATTGGTAGACACTATATTGAAGAAAAGTGCAGGTCCTAGGTGTGCCTATGTGACACCATTCTACTTCTCCATTCATCCGGCCCTGTCTACCACACTGCTTTTACTTGATTTTTTGAACAATGGTGCCAATGCTCAGAATGATCGACTCAGTCTTGCAAACGAACATGATGTAAAAAGAATGATCTTCAAGGGCACCACCCCTGCTTTTTTCATTGAAAACAAAACAAGACCGTGATGTAAAATGAGACTACATAAGGTAATTGTTTGCTGCAAGGTAGTGCTTACTTTCCCGTATTGTAAGCATATTTGTAAGGATTTTAAAATTCCTGCAACAATTTTCCTATTGTTTTTGGATGTTTAGGGTAGTTTCAGACCTAAGATAAGAAGTGGCTACTTCTACGGAAGCATAAATTCTCTTTCATATTTACTGCGATATGTATTGAGACTGGTTGATATACAGTAGGCCCGACAAAGGCTAGACAGAAGTTTGATCATGTGATATTTATACAAAATTGTTTTTCCCTTGCCAAAGCAACAAGCACTTGAACATGCTCTTTCATGGGCGCGGCGACACGCCGTGCCTCTGCCTGCTAGTCAGTTTCCAAAGCTACTGAGATCACCAGCTGTTTGGTGCAAATCAACTCCCAAGCTACTTCAAGAGAACTCATGTCACCTTTTAAAACATATCGCTTCCAACAGAACAACAATGTTGAATGAAAGAACAATGCAAATAATCGATAAAATCCTATTTTAGGTTCATGACACAAGGATCATATTTTTATATTAAGTGAGATAGATATTCACTTGAGTAAGTTGTCTGATGATAAAACATCAAAAGACACTATATTTGCCTGCTGCTACCTTCCTAACTATGGTTTTTTAGTTGTTAGTGTTGCCATATATATAGCTGATCTTAGATAATGTATGTACATACTGAGAATATTTAACACAGAGAAAATAACACGATTAACCCTACAATTATACGATAGCACAGATCGTGCCCATAAAATGGTCAGCCAAGTGACCATCAGTGATAGGTGATATACCAAATAATTTGTCTACGTTGCGGTAGAAAGTTGACAAAATAGGTGAAACAACAGGTTTGCACAGAGAGCTTATTGCGATTTTAACACATACTGTATAATATAAGTTCGATTCTGTACAGTGAAAATGCAGTTTATAACAACTGTCTTCCAACTCACTGACCACGCGGGGTTTGCCTCCCTGCAGAGAGTGAAACAATGCATTCTTGGACCATCACCTGAACTTTTCTCTTGAGAAGCTTGTCCTTCACACCAGAAAGCATGCTACCGTAAAACATCTCCAAGCGAGCGAGTTCATCGGTATCTGACGAATCCAAGATGTTCTCAAATTCCTTCCTGATATCAAAGACTGCAGACTCTTGAAGTGAGCGAGGAAGCGTCCGTTCGTCCATTGGCTTGCGGAATATTGAAATGTGGAGTATGTTGGCATATCTCTCCATGAGTGTCAGTTTTGACCTAAGGAACTGTAGCTCCTCTGAGGCAGCAGATAACTTCAGCTCCAGCTCGGTGCTAGTGCGATCATTCGCTCTTGATGTCGACGCCTGCGCTTGGTCCCCATGAATCTCTTGGAAGTTCTCATCAAGAGGAGGCCACATCACAACGCATGGAGTGTAACTGTCAGTAGTCTGGTCTCTCCCAAGCACGCCGCTGCGGCCTCGGCCCCATGCCCACATCCTGTACCCGTCACCGGCAACAAGAACAGTGTGGGCAGCTCCACAGGCAACCTGCACTGGCCCCAGAAACTTGAACCCATTCGTCTCAGGAGACTGAACCCTTATGGGGTACAGAGCATCCCCTGCGTCCATTCCTGAAAAGCTAGCATCTGGGCACAATCCAAGGCCTCTCTCCATTCCCCAGCACCACACCTCTCCGTCGGAGGAGACCACTGCCGTGTGGAACAATCCACAATCAAGAGAGATGAGGAAGGAACCAGTGGGCAAGCCGTCAACAGGCTGCGGGGAGCAGGTGGTGGCAGTTGTTCCATGGCCAAGCTGCCCATTGTCACCAATGCCAAATGTCCAGCACCGAGATTCAAGATCCTGATCAAAGGACTTCTTATTGGTGAGCACAGCAGTGTGCCAAGCTCCGCATGCAATTTCATACACCTCCCATGAAGAGCCTTCACCAAATTCTGAGATAAGCACGGGGCGAGACCTACTTTCCTTGTCACCTAGACCCAACTGCCCATGGTTGTTGTTACCCCAGGAATAACAGACAAGGTCACCTCCTGTATATGTCTCTCCAGCACTGACAGCAGCTACAACATGCTCATTACCGCAGGCAACCTTAACCACAGTGTGACCATGGAAATCCCACACAGGCAGTGGGGCTGAGGTAGCTGCTATACAAAACTCCCCATCATCAGTCTGCTGGGGGCAATTCCCCCACATCCACAGGGCCCCAAGACTGTCTATTGCGAATGACATCATGCCCCCAGCTTTCACGGAAGACAACTGTAACAGAACATACAACGGGATCAATCAAGCAGAAAGCTCTCAAGCTTAGAGTCTGCAAACTGTTGATTGCTGAAAAGGGGTGCTTCTTTTATACCTTCAAAGGAGTCCCTGCAAGAGTGTTCTGTTCTTCATCCTGCAGTGTTTCAGGGGAACCCAAATCTTGAAAACCGTCGACCAAACATGGAGAAAGGGAATTCTCTTCCCCATAGCCAAGCTGACCATCCGTTAGGTAGTCAAGAAAGTAAAATAGTCGATAATGACAAGGATATTACTAGAGTGATTTCGATATGACAAAACTCAAAATAAGACAAGCAGTATAAAGGATACAGATATTGTAGCCCCATGACCAGAGTGAGCCTTCATCTGCAATGTTGAAGAGTATTCATTACCAATGACATTTCACTATCAACCTTCATCATACTATATTACTATTTGGCAAGGGTGTTTCACTACCGTTGAAGTTAAGAAATCATTTACAGATAAGACTCACAACAAATGAAACAACTTATTTCTCATGCACCAAGAGTCTAGAGAAACAAGGGATGTTTTGTGTACGGGATACTCTCACTGTATCAATTCAGTCAGTAATGCATGGTCAGGTCAAGACCACACGAACAGTTACACAAATCAACGGTAGAAAAATTCAATGCACATGCATGCACACATCGTATGAAAGCCCAATTGCTTGTGAAATCAAGAGAAATCACACATGGCCTGGACCCTGGGCATCATTTCAACTTGCAGACTGCATCACCAGCAAATAAAACTGCCAGTTTAGTGACAACCATAAAGTGGAATCAGGCAGTCCCACGTTTTGAGCCACTGTAAGATCAATTCCAGTTTTCTTTTCAGGCTAGTGCATCTACCACTCTCCACAAGCCGCACAGACATCATAAATTCAGAATGCTGCAAGTACTTCAGACAGTATTTTCCCAACCCAAATTGCCGTACAACAATGTCTAGTTTCGCTTTTACTACCACGAAGAGGAGTACAGTAGTAGAAGAAGCGGACGAGATAGAGGCATAGAGCACGAACCGTCGAGCGCGAGGCTGTGGTACGCGCCGGCGGCGACGGCGGTGAACCTGGGCCGCTGCCTCCCCGCAGCAGGAGCAGCAGCGACGGCGGGCACGACAGCGGTGGGCACGTGCACGTCCGCCTCGCGACCGGTGCCAAGGCGGCCGAACGTGCCCCGCCCCCATGAGTACAGCTCCCCGTTACCTGCAAGCCACGAACGAAAACCACCCTTCAGATCCCGAATTCCGGCGATGCCCGGAAGAATCCGCGTGACAAAAGTGGCCACGTGGGGCGGGGGTCGGGGGTGCTTACTGGTGAGGGCGAGCGTGTGGGCCTCGCCGGCGGCGACGGCGGACACCTTGGGCGGCATCTGCGGGGGGGCAGCGGTGGAGTGGAGGAGACGGCAGGGGTACAACCGTACAAGTGGAAGAATTGGCCGCGAGAGGAAGGTGGCGGTTGAAAAGGAAGCTCGTGGAGGAGAGGAGAGGAAGACGATAAAGGAGTCGACTCACTCGAGTGAATGAATCGAAACGGCAAAGTCAGTGTGAGAGTTGCGTGCGAGCGTACCGATATCTTCGGGCTCGCCCGCGCTGTCGTCTTCGCTTTTTCTCCGGAGCTATCCTGCGATACGTATCGGTTTGGGCGTGTCGCGCGCCTAGCTGCCGCTGCGTCACCGCAGATGCAGATATGGCTGCTGCTACCATGATGATAAGCGCCATTAAGTGGTTGGAATTTAGGAAAAGGTGTGCTGATTGGGAGTGCGATGTGGACAGGTGTTCATGTGTACTCACTACTGTCATCAATGTAGACAAGTGGCAGTGTTAACTTTCTTTTTTGGGGTGCGCGTGGAATTGTCAATGTTTTTACTGAACCGAAGCGGCAACCAAACCAAACTCTGCATATATGATCAGAGCATCCTGGAGAAAAAACTCATGACACTACTCCAAAAACGCAAACTCGCAACACTGCAAATCAACAATCAACATCCAGGTGATGCCATCCATTGCACCAAGGGGGCTCCAATTTGTACAAGCAGCCAACTCACAGGACTTCAGGACACTTTACAGGTTCAGGTTCGGCGCATCATCTAAAGGCACAGCACCCTGAAAGTTGAACTCCCTGCCAAGGGGTGTACTAGTTTGCCACCATCTATCTCACATTCTCACAGATTTGACAGCCAGATAACATCGATTACAGCGGATGCGGCAAGGAAGGCGCAGCTGAGAAAGGCGCACGCGATGGAGGCTGCTGATAGGTCGCAGAAACGTGGCAAGGGCTTGCAGAAGTTGGGAAGCGCCGTGTGCCGGATGCCGGTGCGGTTCAAATTTGCGACGGCCGCCGCTGCTGACCCCCCGCTCAACATCGCATACGCAAAGACCTGCCAAGGATGCACCAGCCGTATAATTCTTCAGTTCCATGGAAATGTCAGACACTAGCAGAGTTCAGAAAGTTCAGATGTTATTTGTCAAAGCTAACAGAGGGTCATGAGCTACTGAAGGCGCTATTACCTGGGAAACAAAGTTTGGAAGCAAACAAACGCCTAAGGACAAACATCGTACAGAAAGCTTGCAAAAAGTCCTGGTCTCCTGGGCTTCCCATTGATAGGGTTTACTGGAATGATTCGGTGACTATTTTTTATGTGGTATACTTTCAAATTTCTTCAATCACTTCAATGTGACTTGTCAAACGGCATAGAGAATGCATCAGTGCTCAAAAGAAACAGATAAATGTGTCTTTTAAGCAGCATTGATTTTGATTGGGAGGGGTGCGAAAATAATCATATGCAAGATGCTAGTAAGGAATCGGTAATGAATTACTTGGTAGTTCGTTTACTGAGATTTAATTTATGGTTATTATAAATCATTCTCCATCTTATAGATAGCATGAGAAAACAATGCCGAATTACCTTTGTACTCCAATATCAATGCCAAAAAAACAAGATGTGCATTTACCATGTATCAACTGCTACGAGGGCCACTGAAGAAACGCCATACCAACTATGTAACAGAAAATTCAGAAAAAGTTTTTCTGTACAAACATTAGTTTGCTCAAATATGATTTGCCTTTGCTCTTCACCTAGTTGCGTGCCACTGTGGAGTTTAATTCTCAATATTTTCAAGAAAAAACAAACAGCCCTTATGGACTTTTATTGTATATTTAGCACAATTGAATCCCTATACCGCCGCGCATGTACATGATACTCAATTTTGCTCGTGCCTATTTCTAATAAAAGTGCAGAATATACTTATCTAAAATATGTTTATAAAGTGATATCAGTGTATTCCTCAAATGCATAAGACTAGGTGACAAAATGCACACTCACATGCACAAAAAAGTGATATGTTTATAAAGTGATATCAGTGTACAGTGATAAAGGACAGAATGGGAATACTTTGCAACATTGAACACTCACATGCACACAAAAAAAGAATAATTTCTCTGTAAGCTATAAAAAGGATTCATTTTCTGTAGTCTTTTGTGGCTAGTGACAAACATTCCATCTAAATCAAGCAAGGAAACTTTTTTACCGCTTCCTTCCTTCTTTTGCTAGTTTGTTGTTCTCTTTGCGGGGTTTTTTCCAACTTCAAGTTTTTTGTTTGGTTTGTAAAGACTCTCACCATCTTTGGTGATTCCTCCTAACACAAAATGATGCACATTCAAGAAAAGAAAAAAGTAACGGAACTATTTTTATGTAGCCAACATATAGACATGGCAAGCTAGTGACAAGGGACTAAATAAATTTTGTACTAAGATGACAGTTGCTAGCATGAGATTTCTTCAGTCGTAACTTAGAACTAACTCAACCAACCGCCTATACTAGTACTGGCTACTGACCCGCCCATAAAATACATAAGAGTATTACATAACATAGAGGAAACTGTCACTTTTATGCAGACATCACAAACAGGGAAATAAAGTATGAAACAACATGACTAAAAAAATAAAATCTAATCGTCGGAGCACAAATAACAATGGTAATTACCAGAAAATGCATAATCAGATCAAAATGATCATAACATACCTGATCACCAGCTAACAGCATCCAGGCATAGCGCCTGGATGGAACCACAGGGACTTTCTTCAAGGCCTTGTACGCAATCGACAGAAGTTGTGCCAGAGAGTAGGCAGCTGCTGCCGCAGATAGCCCAACCAAGGATCTGAAGTTACGAACAACACCATCAGAACTAAGTATTCTGCACGGAGATATTTACAGATTTCAAACTACAACAGTTCAAAGACTTACTTCAGCGAATCAGAGAGGGACCATTTGGCATACAGTGGAATCTCGATGCCAAAGATGATGAGACTACCCCGTTGCTTGGCGGAGACCATGAGCGACATTGAGAGCAGCGCCATCACGAGGGCTGCAGCTCTGGTGGCCACCATGGCCATGTCCAGCCGTGGACATCTTGCTGCTACAGATGTTGTGGGAGGCTCCGGCACCGCGCTGCTCCCCATGGCCGGCATCTGGATGCCAAGCTCCGAACCATTCTGGCCATTAGCAAAGGAACCCATTCCTGTTGCTCCTGGTTGTGGTTTTCTGATCGTAGAAGCTTTTGGCTATGCTGTTTTTCCTTTTAGCATGGTGATGCAACTGAAGGAGGGGGGTGGAGGATTCTAGTAAAAAGATGTATCTGGTTGAGAATCCATGTTATATGCATATATGATGCACCCGTGAATGTTTTCTGTACTTGCTGTCACCATGCTATGACAAAAGCAGCACGGCTTTCGAGCTACCCAAGACCTGTAAGTTGTTTGCTAGCCTATCACTAGGATAAGATTTTAGCTGACAACTGCAGTTATCGCCAAGTGTCAGCAGGATGTGTAATTTGTGCATTAAGAACAGTGCTAGGTGCTATAGTTATTGCAACAACAAAGCAATTGCGTGGGAATCTTTTCTTTTCTCTCCAAAGATTCGTGGGAATCTGCGTATTCTACCAAATGCAGTGGACTGAAAGGAGAAGGCAGAATTAGTAAGACTAAAAATTTGCAGTCACATGGGTTAGTTATTTGGGATACAATACGGTTGTCCTAATCATTAGGTAAGCCTACTTTAAGACTGATTTGGAGTATGGTTCTTTAAGGAAGATGTGGGCGTCAGTTTTAATGGAGATCTACTACAAAAATTTAAGATCTCGCTCAGTACCCATGTAATCACTAGAAAACACACCTCTAGCATTGGATAAAACCGTCAGAGAAATCTAACTGGAGCAGATCAAAACAGTGTTTCTTTGGCGACCTCGCCAAAGAAACACGCCGATAAAGAGCAAAGTCATACAAGACCAAACTTATACCTAAGCGAGGGAAAAGAAAAAAACCAAAGCGATCAAAACAGTGATCGACAAACTACAACAACGACCGTATCTGCAAATGAGTTTCCATCATGATTTTGATAACGAGATTGGAGAACTAGGTATTGAACAAGTATCAGTGAAGCAAAGAACAGACCTTTAGTAGTTCAATGGCGGCCATTTTACAGAGCTATAGGCTGCAGCCTGGGAACTTCATAACTTTCCTCTCCGACATCATCTTCCTCACCATCTCTACCTCACCCCACATGCCAGCAGCAGCGTATATGTTGGACAGCACTACATAAACCCCGTCATTCCATGGCACAGCCGCTAGTAGCTGCTCTGCCGCCCACCTGCCAACATTCACATTGCAGTGCTTCTCACATGCACCAAGCAATGTTCCCCATATCACCACATTTGCCTCCATCGGCATTCTGTGCTCCACCAAGGCACGCTCCTTATCCACCAAACCAACTCTACCAAGCATATCAACCACACACCCGGAGTGTTCAACGGTTGGTGCTACCTTAATCTCCCCATCTTCCATTTGCTTCAGCAAGCCCATCCCAGTATCTAGCAGCCCTCTGTGTGAGCAAGCAGAGAGCACTGCCAACATCGTCACCCTGTTTGGCGGCACCCCTTCATTCCTCATTTCATCAAACATGCTTAGTGCACGCTGCTCCTCACCATGCGTTGCAAGTCCTGTAATCATGGTTGTCCACGACGACACATCCTTGAGAGGCATTCTCGTGAATACCCTCCCTGCAAGGTCTGTGCGGCCGCACTTGGCATTCCTATCGACCAACGAGTTGGAGAGGGTCGCGTGAAGCCGGCCTGATCACTTGCATTGTAACATGCACTTGTGCAGCTGCTCTACCAAGCGAATGTCTCCAACGGCACAGCAAGACGACATGAGACTCGCCATGGTCAAATCATCTGGTACGACGCCACACCACTGCAGCTTGATAAACAAAGCCAACGGCTCTTTGGATTTCCCAGCCTGACAGAGGCCGCTTATGAATTATGATGTCGTTCCACGAACCGAGTCCCCGGTGCGGATTTCCGTCAAACACCCTGCGGGCGGCATCCAGGTCGCCAGCTTTGGCGTGGCAGATAATGAGAGCGCTCTCTGTGAAGGGGTGACGCGCGAGGCCGCGCTTGGAGGCGGCAGCGTGGAGCTGGCAGCGCAAGCTGGTGGTGGGGGGCTCGGCCTGGGCTGCCGCCTTGAGTGCGAGCAGGAAGGTGCAGCGATTGGGGTGAGCGCCGTGGCGGAACATGTGGATCGCCACGTAGAGCGCGGCGCGGGGAGAGCCGAGGCGTACGTAGG